CCCGGGTTACATGGATCCGACTTACATCGGATCCCTACTTACAACCGGGGTGAGGCACCCCCGCACTAGCTACTTCCCCCCAGCAGACTAGGGAGATGCGAAGCTAGCGCGTCCCCCTCCCCCCGCCCAGCAGACCAGGGAGAGGTGGAGCGGCTTTTCTCAGCAGACACCTCAGCTTGAGAATAAAGGACTGAGGGTAGTGAGGTGTGGGAGAATAAAACTGAGCTCTGGAGAAATGTTTGGCTAGAGTTTCCCCTACAATATGTACCAGTTCCGACTTACATACAAATTCAACTTAAGAACAAACCTACAGTCCCTATCTTGTACGTAACCCGGGGACTGCCTGTACAGTGCTACATAGTCCTGTATTTTGTTTCAGCTACACCAGACTAACACGGCTACATTTCTATCACTATTCTACATGAGCAGGCATGGTTCTTCTCCCTACAGCTGAGGAGGCTGTCTAGGAGAACTCAGAGGGAATCCCAAGATGCACAGCAATCAGCTCTGCCTTCCCACAACACTACCCTGTGGGATACATATCCATAGTGCATTGCTCACACTGTTGATGATGCCTCCACTGTGGACATGATCTCTTTGGCGGAAGGAGCAGGTGTGAATACTGTTTTATCAGTGTTTGGGTGTTGACATAAGTTTTGTCGACAAAACTTAGTCTAGACAAGGCCTTAGTTTTTGGGCATTCTGTGTGAAAGAACTTGGGGGGCGGTAAGTAGGGTTCCACTGTCTCAAAGCCGGAAGAAGTGCAAGAGCTAACTACTATGGGTATAGCTAGGCAAAATTCTCCTGTTCCAATGGGCTTGATGAACACACACTTAAGTATAATAGATGTCTGCATCATATCTTAATGTAACTTAATTTTTTAAGTAAGTATTTCTTTTGAATTGTATGTGTCCAGTGTGCCATAGTCACTAAAGAAGTGTCAATCTTAAATGCATTCATTTTAGAAGACTATATATGGATTTTTTTTTTTCCAGTGTTTGGCAGCACATTGACTGCATGGGTATCGACAGGCAGCATATTCCTGATATATATTTGTGTGAACGTTGTCAACCTAGGTGAGTAGCAAATGGCTAATGGTATGTGCATACTATTTTAAACTGCAAATTAGGCTATTTACATAATATAAAATGAATAAAAGTTGCCTTTTAAATATGCTAATTTTATTAAAAGTGAGTCTGTCACAAAGTAGCAAGCAGGTTTTTGCATTACGAATAAACATACCGAGCAGGTAAACAATTAAAATTCTCTTAAGTATTAAGCAGAAAACTTGAAAAAGAATTGCATTTGTTGTTAGATTATCTGAAAGTAAAACAACTAATTAGATACCTTATTCACTGTTAATTCTTTGCTTCAGTCTTCATTACGGAGAATGTAGTGGGAAAATACCTTCTCTTTTCAGGTAATAAAATCAGACACTACCAAACTGAGGCTTTCAGAGGAGATGCTGGGAAAGTTGATTAATGGAAGTGTAACCAAATCACTAGGACTAGATAGCAAAAAGCTAACAATCAGTAACAATTATGAAATTGTATTAATTACCTGGAGGATAGCAAATGTTAAGAACTACCTTTACCAAAGGACCTGTTTGATGTTATGGTGATTCTTTGGATGCTTGCTTATGTATATTTCAATTTGGTGTGCTGCGTGCATGGCTGCTGTAAAGTTTTACCTTAGCTGCTACCTGTTGGATCGGCTGTGGAGCCACCTAGAGTGGCACTGATGCAGTGCCCTAAATATGACTTTGCTGACCCAGCCACCCCACTGTTTCTTCTTACTGCCTGTGACGACTGTCGGAACTGTGACTCTCTTGCATTGCAAGCGCCATGTGTCCCCAGTGTTTAGAGTTAGTTTGGCAATAATTAATAATTAGCAATTAGTTATAATTTATAGCAGCCGTAGCGAAGTGGTTTCTCTCCTCTTGCCTGTGTTCTCTGTGGGACCTGGGGCATTCCAAGATGCCAGGGATTCAAGCCCCTGCAGCTTTTGCCAGAAGTCCATGCCGACAAGTGACCTTCCACGACTCCTGTCTTTGGCGCCTGGGGAAAGTTCACCAAACAGATCAGTGTAAGATCTGCAAGGCCTTCAAACCTTGGACCAGAAAGGAGCGGGACTTTTTTCAAAAGCAGCTCCTCAGGGAGTCCACCGTGCAGCTGCAAAGCCAAAACATAGCTTCAAATGCTTTGATGCGTAGCGCACCACCTTCGGTCCTGGTCCTGGCACCAAAAAAGGATGCTCGGCACCAGTGATCACTGAAACCCTCTGCCTGGTGATGGTTTCATTTTCTGGCATGGCCTTTTAAAACGTCTGGGTCCTTGGCAGTCCCCTGAGGCCCAAAGGTGCAGAGTTCCACATGCACCCCGAGTCCAAATATCTTGGATTCCTCAAAGGTGGAAGTGATGCCAATCAGCCAGTCCTCCTTACTGCACATGTTTGAGGCCACTAGGGACCTCTTACTGAGATGGCACAGTCTCCTCCTAAGGATAGGCGTTCTGTTCCCCTCCAGCACCCCTGTGCTTGGAGTCCTGGCACCACTCTGTTGAGCACCTGTCTGATTTGCAGCATTAATCTGATTTGTGGTACTGTTTTCAGAGTTGGTCCTCTTAGAGCCACTCCTGCTCGAGGGACTCCATGGCAAGCACACCCTGGTTGGGTGCAAAGCCGTCACATCCTTTTAACCACTCCCGCACCAACTGGCACTGAGGGGGACTCATGGCACTGTGGTTCTCGAGTCAGTCATGTTCTGACTTCTCCTGGTTAAGGCTTGTGAATCATCTAATTGGAATTGATATGCACAAGCACTCAAAGAAAAACTGTTACTCATCTTTGTAGCTGTTGTTCTTCGAGATGTATTGTTCTTATCTAATCCGTACCCCACCTGCCTTTCCCATTGTTGGAGTAGCTGGCAAGAAAGAACTGAGGGATGGTTGATTTGGTAGGGTTATAAATAGTGTTGCATCAATGCTACTCTAGGGGGCTCCCAGCTGACCCAACAGGTAGCAGCTAGGGTAAAACTTTCTAGTAGCCATGCATGCAGCGCACACATACACCTAATTGGAATAGATATGAACAACATATCTCGAACAGTTACAAAGATGAGTAACCATTTTTTTCCCCCACCACAGTTTGGCTGCTGAGGTGAGTTAGCCTTCAAGCTAAGTCATGAAAAGTCCACCCTTTCTGGGGCATCCAGTGCAAAAAACACCACTCCTCCAGAACCCATAACACTGTCTTTTTCTGCTTTCTCCTGAGTTTAGCTGTAGCCCCTCTTGGACTCTGTTCAGTTTCTCTGTCCCCATCTTATTCACAGAGGCCATTTCATTATCTGATTTTATTGCTAAGTGGCACTATAAGCATACACTAATTCTTTCCCTTTCCAGCAGCAGTTGCAGAATCCTTTCACAGATTGGCAGCATACCCACCTTCAGAGCTCTAAACAGCTAGGCTTTCTTCTATCATCTGACCTGTTTTCCTTCTCAGGGTCTCTTCTTATATTCCCTGGCCACCTGACTGTTTTCTAGAACACTGTTTCTCAACCTGGTTCTCCCTGGAGCTCCTCTCCATTGTGCTCTCTCTCTCACTGAACTAAGGGCATTGCTTATGCTCCCAGGTGGCCTGATTTTAGCCACATGCTCTCATCACATGACTTTTCTCATTTTCCCCCACCTGGGGTGGCAAGCTATTCATGACACATACAAGTGACCAACATTCTTAAAGTGCAAACTCACCTTGTGACATGAGGATTAATGAACAATGAATTCTGTTTAAGTATGTTGGTTGAGGGAATAATGAAAGAAATGTGCTATGATAGGCATGAACCTGCACAAATTTTTGTGTAAAAAATAAACAAACAAACAAACAAAAAAACCACCATGTCTCCCCTCCTTCCCCCCCCTTGCTATTATAGTTTGTCAGTAGGATCTCATCCAGGATTGACTTGGGACCCATAGACTCTCCTTCTGCCTTCAGACAAAGCCACTGTCCACACAAGGAGGGTGGCTGTGGTCGAGGTCTCTCCTTGGGGCGGAGGAGGATTTTGGGATTGGATTACAACCCCTTTCCCACTGGGGTATTTCCAGCCACAATTTCTTTGATGTATTAAATAGATCTGTAGTGGGGGTTTTAGGAGGGGTTGGGGCACTGTTCCTTCTTACATTTTCCAACCTTGGGTGGGTTGAAATTTATGTGCACCACCAATATTGAAGTTGTATGTGGATGTGCAGTATGTCCCAGTACAAACAAAAAACTTAGGTATGAATATATATTGTAATTGTCTGTCTGAAGGAAGGTATTTAATGTTTTGCTCTGTTTCATTCCTAGATTCAGCCACTTAGATATGTTTTGAAGTGTTGATTAAACTTATTTTTTTTAACTGCAGAAGTTTAGATAAAGAAAGGGCAGTGCTACTTCAGCGAAGAAAAAGGGATAATATGTCAGGTGGGTAAAATGAAAATTTAAGAAACCTATTAAATGTGCCAAATATACTGAGTGTTTCAAAAAAACTGTAAAGACCCTGAGAATATTTGTATAGTTTTTCCAATTTGCAACCTTTGTGAATAACATTCTTGCTTATAAAATCTGGAATGGAATTAAATATTTTAACCGTATTTTACCTTATCAAAGCACACTTTTATTTTTATATATGTATTAGTTGTGAAACTGAAACTCTTCTTTGTCTTCAAGTGATCTTCATGTGTGTTCCATGGAGTGATCGTTGTGTGTCTGCATGCATGTTAGTAAGCAATGCCTCTTGGGCTCTAGGTGCACATATTTTCTCCTCGTACTTCAGAGTATAAGAGGCAGTGTGGACTGACACCTCTCCGGTTCCTTCTAACTAGTGCGTAGTCTCATCCAACCTTCTTCTATTGCTTCAATCTGTCAAAATATATAAATATTTAATATGGCTGTCCAAAAATTAATCCCAATTAATCACACTGTTAAGCTATAATTGAATACCATTTATTTAAGTATTTTTGGATATTTTCTACATTTTAAAATGTATTGATTTGTTACAACATGGAGTACAAAGTGTCACCCGCAAAAAGTTGATTTTCTTTTTTGGTGGTTCAGGTTCTGTGGTTTCTGTACCAGACTGTTGCACTTTTAAGAATTCTGAAAGACTCCTCATCCTCATTTTTTTGGGAAGGCACTTAAGGTTCTTAAACCTTGGGTCAAGTGCTGTAGCTATCTTTAGAAATCTCATCTTGGCACCTTTTTTGTGTTTTGTCAGATCTTTAGTGAAAACGCTCTTAAAATGAAAAGCGTATGTGCTTATTTTATCCAAGTCTGCTATAGCATGAAATATTTGGCAGAATGCTGGTGAAACACAGAGCAGGACACACAATTCTCCCCCCAAGGAGTTGTCACAAATTTAATTAATGCATTGTTGTTCTTCGAGTGCTGTGCCTGGTGGGTGCTCCACTGTAGTTGTTGGGTTGTCTTAGCGCTGCTAGTCAGAGTTTTTTGTAGCAGTGGTTGGCTGAGACGTACCGTAGACACCTCAAGCCATTTGCATCGTAACGGATTGCATGTGTGGCTTTGCCTTCCTCAATTCCTTTTCTACTGTCCCTGGCTGCAGATGGATCTTCAACAGTGCTGTGCCCCTTTCTGTTAGAAAAGAGAAGATAGTTGTTAATTCCCTCAGTTATTTAGTTAATTCTTTAGTATGGTACTTTACAATTAAAAAAAAAATTCCCCTAGTTCTCCAAGTTCGTTGTTTCTCTGTTTCTTCAGCCCCTTTTGGGCCTCCAATTTTTTTGAGTTTTTTTTAAGAGAAGTTGTTCGGGAGAAAACTGAACAAATAGAAGGAAAGAGCACAGAGTCTTCAGAGACAAGGACTAAAAGTTGCTGCTGCTTCCTTCCTGCCATTATACCTAGAGCCCCCGAGTTCAAGAAAAGTGATGCATGTTATGACCCTATACCAGACTTCGATGGTTGTTCCTTGAGAAGTCATTTTACCCTTCTCAAGGCCAAGATCCTAGGATACTTCCTAAAGACAAGCCTATACCTTTTAAGGCCCCAGGAAACTGGCTGGCACTCCTCCTGCTTGGGACTCTCAATATAAGAGAGTTTCCTCCACCAAGTCTCTTCCCATGGTACCGACATCCTGACTCCGTAAAGGGAATGCTTCCAGCACCTCCAGCACTGTCTCGGCATGGGCTGTATCTCATACCGAACCAGACCATAGACGTGCCACATCTGTTCTGGCACTGGCCTATTTGGCACAAGAATTGGTGCCAAAAATATCCCCGGCTCCAATGCCCCCTCTGCTGATGCTGTAACATCACTTGGCACCGAGCTCTAAACACAGCACCACTTCACCCACGCTGCCAAAAAGGCATCACCACATCGCAACACACAAAGACAGTATCAACACAATCTCCATACCAGAGAGATATTACCACATCCTCTGCACCGCCTTCACAGCAATGTGGCACCAGCTACTTTCCCACACCATCTACAGTTGAGCCTCCAGTGTCCTCTGCTCTTTTGAACAAGAGTGATCATGAAATGGAGGATCAGTCTAGCAGATTCTCCTTATAACATTCCTCTCCCATTCATGCATGCCTTCCATGGCAGCCCCAGGCCAGCAATCCACAATGGTGTCCACAGTGGTATGGACAGTCTTTGCCCTATCCTCCCCTCTCCCCAATACCATGCAGTGGCCATCTTGGGATCTTTGGTTTCATTTCAGAGGCCAGTACTCTGGCCTCTCCACTCCAGCAAAGTGTTCTCTGCCATGTACCAGCTCAGATTGGCTAGCTTACTTGGCTTTGTTGGCCAACTACAATTTTTCTTCAAGTGATTGCTCATGTCTATTCCACATAGTTGTGTGCGTGCTGCATGCATGTGTCTGTTGCACTTCCTCAGACCTGCTTAATAACAAACCCGGACAAAGGATGGGCTGGAGCAGTATTGCTTTGGGGATTGTTTCTTGGTACAGATTCTTAAGAGTAAGTGATACACACACACATCACATTCATGATGGCAGTTTGGAGGCAGGCTGCAAGTGTGGTGTAGATTACTTTTGATTTTGCTGGTGGCCGGAGTGTTGGCCAGCCGTCAGCTTCTCGGAGACTCTACCATGATGTTACTTGGGAGATCCCTTTGGATCTGCAGAAGGCTTTACTTTCTCTGGGCCAGTCCCAAGTTTCTGCTGCGATGTTACATCTTGTCCGAGAGAGAGAGAGAGATTTTTCTGTCTGCTTCTCAGTGAATTTATCTGCTTGCAGGGTCTTTGTTTGTCTTAAAAGGTCATGGATACTAAACTGCCTTGGATTGGATATTTCTCATTTGTACCTCTCACACATTCCACAGGTTACATATATATTCATAAGCATACATTAAGCAATATAGTTTCTAGGTAAAATCCAGTCTCATGGCCTTGGGTAACCAGAAACCTACCATAAATTGGATTGCTTGACATACTAAAAAGATCTAATGTAAATAATATAGGTTAATATACCAAAGGCCTGATAAAGAGTTACAATTTATGTTGAGCTAAGAGAGGTAGGGTCAAGGGAGACGGGGAAAGCAAAGTCATATGTCCGGTCAGCTAGACGCCAGTGGAGAGGAGGAAGGGGAGGGTCATGTTTGACTCGTTACAGCGTTGTTGGAAGATTTTCCCTTAGCAATACCCGTTCCCTGGAGTGACGCTGATAAATCAGCTAATATATACCCCTGGCTGGCCCTCCCTCCTCAGTTCTTTCTTATCACTTGCAACAGTCGTTGTAACGTGATTTGCTCTTGCTCTTGCTCTGTAAGTATCTCTTAGCAATTCACCTTAGTTGTTTAGTTTGACCACCTGAAAAATTTAATGACAACCAGAGAGAGAGGCAAGGCCAACCGGGTGCTACTCCAAAAAAACAGGGAGGCCAAAAAGATAGATCTCCTGGGCAGGAAGACTTATGCTTCTGGAGGCCTGCAGCTTTGCATAGGAAACCAGCAGATTCTGCTGACTCGCTATGTGTACAGCATCTGGGCATCTATGGACAAATTTTCTGAGCTGCTTCCCAGGGACTTCCACTCAGAGTTCAAGTCCCTTGTGGAAGAGGGCAGGATAATCTCCTGGGTGGCCTTATAAGCTGCACTGTACACTGTGGATGCAACAGCACACACTGTGGCCATGGGAATTGTCTTACAACACAGTTCATGGCTGCAGAGGTTTGGAGTGCTTCCTGAACTCCAGTCCACTCTTCAGGAGTTCCCCTTTGAAGGGCCATCCCTTTTTTCGAATAGACCTATCAGCATCTACATGGCCTTCAGGATACCCTGAAGTCTCTCGGGATTCGCACCCTGGCCCCCAGAGGCATTCCCTCCTGAGTAGGAATCATCCCCACCCCCACCCCTCGCCCCCCCGGCCTGACCAACAGAGATTGAGACTCAATTTTCCTCACAGTAGGGGGAGGAATGGCAGGAATAATAAGTGCCATTCCCGTCCTCCCTCAGACCAAGGTCCGGGCCCCTCTAATAAGTCCCAGGGACCCTATCAGGGGTTTTATAGGTATGCCCGAGGACAGCCTACCAGCCTCCCCCTTCCAGTTCCAGGATAATTTATTTCCCTTCCTCCAGACCTCCGACCAATGGGCTCAGAGACTGGGGGGAGGGGATATTCTATCCCCTTCCTTTCACCACCCCCCCATGCAATCCCATCCCTCTTCAGAGACCCCTCTCATGAACATTTCCTCTGAGAGGCTATGCTACAGTTCCTGAGTCTCAGGGTGGCCGAAGTGGTTCGCTGAGAGTTCATGGGCAGGGATTTCTATTCCTGGTATTTCCTGGTCTCCAAGGCAAAGGGAGGGTTTCAATCTATTCTAAATGTCAGGGATCTCAACGCCTTCATGACCAAAGCCAAATTCAAGATGGTGACCTTGGCATCAGTCATCCCGTCCCTGAATCTTGGAGACTAGTATGCTGCCCTCAATCTGAAAGATACTTACTTCCATGTCAATTGCTTCTGGCATTTTGGGTATTCACAAAATGCATGGCCATAGTCACCACCGCCCTGAGGAAGAGGGGCATCCAAGTTTTTCCGTATCTGGTCAACTAGCTGGCTCAGGGTCTCTCCTCAGACCAAGTGCTGGCCCACATTGCCCTGGTACGAGACCTTTTTCAGTAGCTGGGTCTCCTAAATGTAGCCTTCTCTATGGCCTTCGTAGCTCAGGTCACTATCTTGGATATTTGTAGGGCGGCCACATGGTCTGTCCAAACCTTTGCCAATCAGTACGCATTGGCTCATCCAGCTAGGGAGGATGCAGCCATGGGCAGGGCTGTCCTACACTCGGTTGAAGGTTTGAACTCCGGCTCCGCCTTCTAGGATTTCTGCTTTGGAGTCACCTATGTGGAATGGACATGAGTAATCACTCGAAGGAAAAACGGTTATTTACCTTCTTAACTAGTCTTCGAGATGTGTTGCTCATGTCCATTCCAAATCCTGCCTGCCTCCCCTTCTTCGGAGTAGTCCGGTAAGAAGGAACGAAGGGGGTGAAGGGCCATCAGGGATACATATTAGCTAATATATTGCACCACTACCGGAGGCTCCTCTGGTGTCCCGATGGGTACTGCTAACAGAAAATCTTCTGACAACGTATGCGTGCTGCATGCACACACCTATGTGGAATGGACATGAGCAACACATCTTGAACAAGTTACAAAGGTATCCGTTTTTTCCTAATTCTAAATTGGAGGAGCTCTTGGAACATCTTCCAGAGCAGAAGCAATTCCATCCTCCATTCAGTTATACAAAAGGGCCAGATGATTGCATGCGCCACCCTGCAATCATAACTCTATGTAGCAGACTCAGCTGCTCAGGCCACAGCTACCACTATAGTTAGGAGAAGGGCATCACGGCTCCAGTCCTCTGGTATCTCCACAGATGAAAGTAAAAGACTTGCCCTTTGATAACATAAGAATGTCCGTACTGGGTCAGACCAAAGGTCTGTCTAGCCCAGTAGCCTGTCTACTGACAGTGGCCAGCACCAGGTGCCCTAGAGGGGGTGGACCAAAGACAATGATCAAGTGATTTGTCTCCTGCCATCCTTACCCAGCCTCTGACAGAGACCAGGGACACCATTTCTATCCCCTGGCTAATAGCCTTTTATGGACCTAACCTCCATGAAATTATCTAGCTTCTCTTTAAACTCTGTTCTAGTCCTAGCCTTCACAGCCTCCTCTGGCAAGGAGTTCCACAGGTTGACTACGTGCTGTGTAAAGAAGAACTTTGTTTTATTTGTTTTAAACCTGCTACCCATTAACTTTATTTGGTGTCCTCTAGTTCTTCTATTATGGGAACTAATAAATAACTTTCTTTATTCACCCTCTCCACACCAAGCATAAGTTGGTTTTGGTTAAGATGGATGAGGTGTTACATTCTACAAAGGACATGTGCACTCTAGGAATGATCTCCCCACCAGCTAAAAGGCAGCGTTGCACATCATAACAAAGACCTACGGACACTGCCTTCAACTGACTCCAGTTCAGACATGCCGACATGAACAGATCTAAGCTCAGACCTCCATGCTGAAGACCATCGCAGGGTCAGCCTCCTACCACTCATGCACCCAAGCAGCAATTTTGAGGCTTTGGTCAAGTGTCTGCACAGTCTCCCTTAAGTGCTACCTCAGTCACCATCCATTTTCATACACTGATTGCATCCATATTATCATCAGTGGGTGGGGATAACATCAGAACGGTGGGTCCTACAAATTATTCAAGCATGATATGTTATCCAGTTTCTCTTCCACTCTACCACGTTCCCTGTCCTTCTTTACAGACACTTCCCGTGACGTTCTTCAGGGGGAAGTCAAACCTCTCCTAACCATAGGGGCTGTAGAGCCCATTCCCAGCCTATTCTGTGGGAAGGGCTTTTTTTCCAATGAATTCCATACTGAGAAAAAGAGCAGAAGTTGGAGACTGGTCCTAGACCTGTGCAGATTGAACAAGTTTGTTCAAAACCAAAAAAATGGTGACTTTACCAACTATTATCTCAGTACTAGATCGGGGCACTGGTTCTCAGCCCTCGACCTCTAAGATGCTTACTTCCACATAACCATGCACCCTGCACACAGATGCTTCCTCAAGTTCACTGTAGCTTACAGACATTACAGGGTTCTGCCTTTCGAACTTTCCATGACCCCCCAGAATTTTTTCGAAAACGCATGCAGGTGCTGTAGCACATCTTAGACTACTGTCTCTTAAAAGGGTCTATGCAAGTAGAAAGAGCCTGGATGGTCCACAAAACCTGGACTCTCTTTCAAGGCCTTGGTCTCCTCAAAAAAAGCCAAGTCGACCCTCCAACTAATTCAGAAACTGGAGTTTATCGGAGCCCTCCTGGACTCCACCAAGGCCCGTGCCTTCCTCCCATGACGTCATTCCACTAATTCAGCAGATCTCATCAGTGCAGTCACCATCAGCCTTCAGACATCCATTTTGGCCTGTCTACAGATCCTGGAACACATGACAGCAATTACTTATGTGGTCAATCACGCCAGGCTACATATGTGCTACCTTCCAGGATAGCTTGCTACTGTATATACTACAACTGTGTGTTTCATCCAAAAACAAGTCTCAATTCCTCCTAATATAATATCCTCCATTTTAATGGTTGACTGACCATCCCCACAAATCTTTTCTTCAGTGTTCCTTTCTGCCAAACGCTCCCCTCATAGGTTGGAGAGTGCCTGTCTACACCATCACAAAGCACATGGCTGGTTGATTGCTAATGGAGTCCCAACTGCTCATACACCTGCTCAAGCTCAGAGCTGTCAGAAGGGCTTTTGAACATTTTTCCTCTCATTCGCAACAAAACCATAAAGATACTTACAGACAACATGACTTGCATATTTTGCGTAACCAGGCAGGGCAGAGCTTGCTATTCACCTTTTGGAACTGGTGTACCCAACGCAATGTTACCATCAAACTTCCTAACTCTCCGGTATTCACAGTACTACTGTGGACACTCTCAGATGCTAGTTCTCAGATGACCACGTGTGGGAGCTACATCTGGACAACATGAGGTACATCTTCCACACTTGGGGCTGCCCAGCAATAGAGCTCTTTGCCTATTACAAGAACCACAGATGTCGCCATTTTTGCACTCGTGCAGCACTAGTCCCAAACTCCCTTGGAAGTGCCTTTCTTATCTCATGGATGGGATCACTACTATATGCCTTCCCACGCATATCTCTTATTTCCCCAGATCATTCTGAAGCTGTGTATGGACCGCACTTGCCTTATTTTTATAACTTCTACATGGCTCAGACAAACATGATTCCTCTTTCTCTATCGTCTTGCTATAGCACCTCCTTTCCTACTGCCACTTTACTCGAATCTCCTATCCTAGAACAAGGGCACATTCAAAATATGTACCCTCCCATTAGAGGAGGGTGTAGTCTCAGCCTTGTTTTTATGACCCTTTGTACTGCTCCAGGGCAGCTCTACTGTGAGATTTAAAGGATGATGCTCTTCTGCTACCCTAGGTGCACCATCTCAAATTTGCCTTCCATTTCATCTTGTTAATATCACAGCAAAGCTCAGTTCATCCTTATCGTGCAGAGATGGGAAACCTACAGCCCTCACTTACAGTTGAATATAGTGGAACTGCTTGATCATAGTGATCATAGTGCAATTAAATTTAATATCCTTGTGGGAGGAAAAAGACATTCCTGTCACAAAAACCACTTTGCTGAAATCTGCATGTGAATACTTGCAATAGTTTATAGGTTGGGACAGTACTTTTTTTCTGTATACCTGATTCTTTTTACAGTTTGTTTTCTTTTGTTTCTATAGACGGGGATACAAGTGCAACTGAAAGTGGTGATGAAGTTCCTGTGGAACTGTATACTGCTTTTCAACACACCCCAACTACAATTACTCTAACTGCTACAAGGGTTACTAAGGTTAATGACAAGAAAAGGAAAAAAAGTGGAGAGAAAGAGCAGAACATTGCAAAATGTAAAAAGGTAATTAATTAAAAAATTTAATTTATCTTCTCATAGCTTTCATTTGATGGAATTAACTACTGGTTTGGGACATTTTTAACATATGCCTTGTATTGGTATAAAGGTTTTACTTTCTGAAATTAGATTGGTATTCAGCACTCATCCATGGAAAGTAACATATCAGACTTTTTCTAGTTATCGAGTATTCTTTCCTGTGGAATCCCTTTAAAAATTGATGAAGTTGAAAAAGTTACTGACATTTGCACCCCAATATGTACAGGCTTATGTGGTAGTTTGTGAGGCATCTATTTATAAATGCATTTGGATATTTTTTTTTTTGGCCTCATACTATTATAGCTAGAATATGTCTCCCTATTTTTTTCTTCTCACCACTACTAATAAAGGGCAAATCTTTTTATAGTGCTGTTTAGCTATTAAAATTCAGAATTGATTGATAGATTGCTGTTGTCAGTTTTATCTGACATGACGTGACACTCCATTCAATTGTAATGGCAGTTCGGTGGAAAATTGCTGCTAGAAAGCCTTCTCTTAAATACAGTTCAGGAAGTAGTGTGATTATATTTTCAAAAAAGATTTTGGAATAATTTTTACCCAATGAAATAACAATATTCTGTATTAAGAAAAAACGAAAACTCAGCTGAAAAATAACTATAGATGAATCACTACAGTAGAATTAATACACTGTATTCACATTAATACAGTAGAAATGTGACACCTGGCTTTTCTAGATTCATATAAATATCAAACATTTACTGGATATTAGCAAAATACAGAAATTAAATCATTCTAGGATGTGAAAGTGTTCTGTTTCTGATCAGATTAAAATTAAGAACTATTACAGTCAAGGAAAAATATTAAAAGAAACAAACTGGAAACCAGAATTTCAATCGTTAGGTGTTTTGGCCTTTGAATCATACTTTTAAGGTCATTCACTTTCCAGTTCATATTTTAAAACCAACTGCAAATGCAATTGTAGAAATATCTAATCAGCTGTTAAAATACCACTTGAATGACAGTTCTCAATATACACTGCTGATACTTAGTGGTTACCTCTTAATGCAGTGATATTTGAAAAGGAAAACTTAATAGTAAATATTGTTTTGAGAAAATTTCCATTATTTTACAGGGCATGCAATGTTCATCCATAAGTTGTCCAATGTGAGTGCCATTTAATGAGTTTATTTTGTATGCCACAGAGCATTCTAAGTTAATGTTGAATCACTGTCACAGTGATGGAGGCATCAAGGTGAGGTTGTAATGCTGAAAAAAGGCCAATTTTCGTGACACCAAGGGTGTGCCTACAATGCAGGGCTTAACTCAAAATAAGCTACGCAAATTGAGCAATGTCAATTGCATAGCTTATTTTCTAAATAGGGAGGGTCTACACAGCACTTACTTCGAAACAGAGTACTCTTCCTGTGACTTCTCTTATTCCTTGCACAATGAGGGTTACAGGAGCCAGAGTAAGAAGTCCTCTAACTAGATAGTATTTCTACATTGTTTCGAAATAACTGCCTACTGTGTAGTTGCTAGAGAATGTTACATTTTGAGTAATTGACTAATGAATAGTTGATGCATTTTGCATCAGCTATTCGATTAGTCGATAGGGTGCCTCCACCTTTGAAGTGTAGCAACTGCCCTGGGGCTGTTGCTTCATTTCAGAGTCAAAACCACTGTGTGGCGCACAGATCAGCTGGGGGCTGACCCTGGGCTCCATGCAGCGCTGCCGCTCTGAAATGCTGCAGGGACATGAAACACCGCATGCTGTCTGGGAACACCCCAACTGGCCCTGGGCTGTACGCAGCATTTCAAAGCGGCACTGCCTCATGGAGGCATGGTGTGGCCCCAGACTCCATGTGGTGCTGCCGCTTTCAAGTGCCTTCTTCCCCCTCCCTCCCTCTCCCCGCCCCGCTGCCTCTTTCTGATAGAGGCAGCAAGGGAGGGGGGGAAGCGAGTAGTCTGTTGACTAGTCCTTCACATCCCTAGTAGACGCGGACTAAATTATTTCAAAATAACACTAGTTATTTCAAAATTGTGTTGCTATGTAGACATGTACCCCAAGTGGCCTTGTATTACTAGCTTTGAAACCTTGGATTTATTTTATTGGCAGTCTTAGTGGCTTTTCTCTATAACAGTCTTTTAATTTCATTCTCTTCCCTTCCTGTTGCTGCTTTTAATGAGAAGAGTTTTCCAAAAAGGTTAAATTCTTAATAAAAGCATAAGATCATTTTCCGTCAGAAAAACTTTCTGTTAATCTTAAATATTTTAAAACGACAACTGCTTTTATTTTTTAGGCTTTTCGTGAAGGATCTAGGAAATCTTCAAGAGTTAAGGTAAGTGTAAATATGTGATAATTATAGATAGATTAGGTGTTACTTCAGTTACTTTCTGAACTTTCTGCTAATTAATCTTATTTTTGTTTATATGAGAACAACTTGAGGAAAAGTTTCCTATGCCTCTATCAGTCAAGCAGTGATCTGGGATATTAGCTCTGGAGATTGTTTTGACAGTTTTATCTTAAAACCTAGGTGGTGTTAAAGGACTTTTAAAGATCCATGTTGTGTGCATTAGAATTACAGAATTCATTCCATGTTTTTTTTCATTAGTTATTTTGTACAGTATAAACATACAAAGTAGCATCATAATCAGCTTAAAAATCTTGTGCATGAAAGTTTTCTACTTACCATTGTGATAAGTAATAGAACAAGTGAATAAAATTGGAAAAGCAATTTCACTGACATTAAGTTTCATATCCTAGTTTCATGCACTATTACTTGGTGCTTCTTAGAAGGAGATTGCATGCATGATCTGTCTCAACCTTTGCAAAAAGTTAAGTAGCATCATGGATAAACTCAGCTACTGGAAATTTAGATTCTACTAATTTATTAGCCTCCATCAGCTGCTATGGTAGGTCAGGTAGAAGAAAGGAGCATCAGCACATGGAGCAATAAGGCCCCAAGACTGTTTTGGGAGCAGAAAATTACTTTTATGGTAGGTGTCCTGCAGAAAACAACTGTTAGCTCAGGCTCTTCTATGGAAATGGAGAGTGACATTAGGATTATAAGGAATCTTTGGTTCCACTGCAGAGCCAAGCAAGGTTCCCTCTAAACTATGTGTCAGAACAGCCCTGCAGTTGGTTAATCAGCCCTGCCGAGCCAGGGATTCAGGGCTCCATGCATGGGGTTGCCTGACTGTGCAGTGCTGATTAAGGAGCTGTGGGGTTGTGCTGCTGCACAGCTCAGAGGGAACCTTGAAGTTAAGCAAGGAGGATACACGAAGATCATAGAAAAAGCCAAGTTGGACTGAAGCCACATCTACACTACAAGATAAGATCAAATTTAGTAAAGTTGACTTTTAGCACTCAGTTTTGTAAAGTGTGTGGTGCATGTCCACACTGTGCAAGAATTCAACACAGTAGGGTGAGAGCAATGCACAGTGGGTAGCTATCCCACTGTGCCCCTTTGCATTCAGTACACGTTGGGACCAAAACTGTGCAGTGGGTAGTTCTGGGTACATATCATCAGCGTCCCATAATGCACTTGTTCCCCCCCGCTTGAGAGCAATGGCAAACAGTCTTTTTGCACCCTTTTCCCCCCTTGGTTATCCACTCAGATACCATAGCAGCATAAGCATGGAACCCATTGTGGATCCTGTTGAGCATCAAAGCATTATGATGATTTTAACTTTGGTGCACCTAATGCTGGAGTGTGTCTGCAGGAACGAGGACGTATCTGGGGAGACAGTGAATATACTCTTCTGTGAAGCACTTAAAGAACACCAGTTCTGGTGCCATCAGACAAGCACAGACTGGTGGGACCGCGTTGTTATGCAGGTGTGGGACAATCAGCAGTGGCTGCAAAACTTCTGTATGTGTAAGGCCACTTTCATGGAAGTTTGCAAATTGATTTCCCTCATCCTGAAGTTCAAGAATACCTGAATGAGACCTGCTCTGACAGTGGAAAAGTGAGTGGCAATTGCCCTGTGAAAGCTTGCAATGCCAGATAGCTGCCAGTCAGTTGGGAATCAATTCAGAGTGGGGGCTATCATGATCCAAGTAGCCAATGCAATCAATGCCATTCTGCTGTGAAGGAAACTTAGAGGACATAATGGAGGGCTTTGCCATGGTGAGGTTTCTTAATTGTTGTGGAGCGATAGTTAAAATGCACATCCCATCTTGGCACTCGCCAAGGGCTTGTCGACCACCCCCGTTATGCCTCGTGGAATGAGGTTTACTGGGGCGATCGACAAGGGCTTGCCTTGTCGACCGCGAAGCGTCTAGACTACCGCGTTGTGCCGCCAAACAGCTGATCGGCACAGCGCGGCAGCCATTTAAATCACCGCCTCCTTTCCCTATGTCTAGAAACCTCATCTACATGTAGTCTAGACATACCCTTAGCCATGGGTTTTAAGCAGCCAGACATCAGGACAATAAGGAGAGTACTGAGAAGGGAAGTGCAAATCAGAGAGAGTTTGAAAGACATTTTTATGAATGGCCAGTTTTGAGAATCACGCATGTCGCTCTCACTGCAATGCCCCTAAATTCAGTATGTTTGCCTGTAACCACTACCACCTCTTCAACCCAAGCAATAAAATGACTGTTGTTCTGAAATCATGTGTTTTTATTCGGGGAACTCAGTGGGGATAGGACGGAGTCCAAGGGACCGCGTTGGGGGATGAGAGAGGGTGATTACAGTTGTGAGGACAGTCTTTTGCTTTGCAGTGCATCCCTGGGGATTGGTTGTTGAGCTGCCTTTGACTCTCTTCCACTCCCACTCCCACCCCCACCTCTCCCAGGTGTTCTAGGGCTCCTGGGAGAGGAGGCTGTGGAACTCAGTGTGAAGGGAACAGTGGTACGCAAGGGTTGGATGGGATGCCTATGCATGTTGGCATCCTGAAAAGTCCCCATATGGTCCATCACATCCACCATAGACAACATCACACCTCTCCTGGTGCCTCACTTCCCATTTCCTGCATGCTCTCCTTTTCTCATGCTCCATTCACATCTCTTCCAGCAGCGTATTCCTCCACTCGCTCCCCTTTTCAAGTTGGAGAATTGCATTTGCTCCTTGAATATCCCTAGTCCATTTTTGCCTGCAGATTTGTGCCAGGTGGACAGCTGGCAGGGACTTGTAATAAGCTGTTCCAGGACCCCCCACTGTGTATTCAGAGTGGCTACCACAGATCACACCCAATTGCCCTAACCCACTTTTACCAAGATAAAAAAATGTGAACGCCTCAGAAGTTCCCAGGATTAGTGCCCGACTGTGAGACATCCTGGAAGGAGAGGATTGTCTCCAAGGTTATAAAAAGTTCTTGGCTTTCAGTGACATCGGTTGCTCCGCTTCCTGCTAACCATTCTCCTCCTCCTCAATGCTGGTGACCGAGGCTGCCCAAGTATTTTGGGAAGAATCCAGGGACTGGCTAGGGAAGTTGGTAGAGTGCATTCCAAGGATTGCATGCAGCTGCTTGTAGAAGCAGCACGTTTGTGGTAACGCTCCAGACCATCCATTTGCCTCCTTTGTCTTTTGATACAACTGCTTCATCTCTTTTATTTTCTCTTGGCATTGCTGGGCGTACCTAGTACATACTTTTTCTCCTTCATTCCCTTTATGATCTTGGTATAGATACGTTTCTTTTGTTGGTTTGTAGCTCTGTGAGAAAAGATTCCTCTTCCCACACACCACTGAGGTCCAGGATGTCCTGAATGTTCCTTGCTGGTGCTCGTATGCGAGCCTGGGAACTCATGGTTAGATGTGGTGCCTGCTCTGAAGTCTACTCACCATGCTGGCCACACAGGAAATTAAATTCAGATTTTCCTGGGGCTTTTTCTGTTCACCTGGAGAGCAATAGAGTTGAAAGACATGGCCAAAGCAGGACACCACCTGGAGGCCAAGAATGTCAACTTTCAAAGCATTGCATCTGCACTATGGCAAAGTCAATCATGGAAGGCTGAATTTAGCAGCTACTCTTTGTGAAAACAGTAGTATAGCAATCCACTTTAATGGCCCTTAAAGCGGATGGAACAGGCTTGGTGGTGTGGATGCATGGTTAGAAAAATCAACCTATATGCAGCTAAGTTTGACCTAAGCTCCCAGGGTAGACTAGGCCCAAGAGGGAATGGGGGAGGGAGAGAGAACAGGTGCCAACTCTGTACATTTGACTTCTTTCATAAGAGTTTAAAATATAGGGAGAACTAACTTCCAACATCCACTCCCATGGGTCCAGGAGCAAGAATGAGAGAGAATCTCTGTATTCTCAGTCTCTCTCCTCTAGAAACTTACCAGAAGCTTGGGCCAGGATCTTACTTCTAGATATTTCTCCATAAGACATGACCAGACCCTCGTGGGGAGGGGTGTCATTGTTCACAGCTGTGATGGCCGAGTGGTTAAGGGATTGGATTAGAAATCCAATAAGGTTTCACTATGCAAGTTCATATCCTGCTCAAAGTGAGGCCTGTGTTAGCAGGGGACTGGACTTGATGACCTCTCAAGGTCCCTTCAAATTCTAGAATTCTATAATACACATTTCCTTATACCCCCTGCTCGGCATGCACACTTTTTTGTGTGTGTGTGTGTGGGTCAAAATACATTAATGGAAAGAGAAACAAAATTGGAAAACTTCTTGGGTTGTGGGGGTATATTTTTGGTGTGTGTGCCTATATATAATGTTTTTAAAGCATTTTGGAGGCAGATACACTTTTTCTTTTTCCAAAAATGTCCTTGGTGCAGTATTAAGTAAAATTGGGTAATTGTTAGTTGATTTTGTCCCTTTTAAAACAATATTGGTATAAATTCCTAACGCTTCCTTAATATGAATAAAAGTACTTACTTTTGTTTTGACTAAGCTTTTTCAACTTACATCAGTTTTTCTTCGGAAATAATTACTATTTCTAAACTATACTGAGCTTGATGATTTTTATAAAGTGGTATTTTTTTTGTAAGAGAATAAACAGTTTGAGTAATCAAACTGTCTTGAAAAGGTACTGCACAATTTAAAAACTGGATATTCTTGGCAGTAAATTGTTGAGTGGATTAATGGAAAATATGTGAATTAGATATATTTATGATAGATCCAGTGGTGTGGTTTTCCTCTTCTCCCACGCCTCTGAAACTCACCTTTTTATATACATTTAATTGATTATACAGAATTTGTAATAAATGTTTGCATTTCCTTTAACTGTGCCAGCTGTTTTATATTTGGCTTTTGAACTTTAAGTATAAGTTACCCTATTACAAATAATGAATGTTGTTTGCAATTTCTGGTTATTGTGTTTATGTAGGGTTCAGCTCCGGAGATTGATCCTTCTGACAGTTCAAATTTTGGATGGGAAACTAAAATCAAGGCATGGATGGATCGTTATGAAGAAGCAACTAATAACCAGTACAGTGAAGGTGTTCAGAGAGAGGCGCAAAGAATAGCTCTGAGACTAGGCAATGGAAATGACAAAAAAGAAGTTAGCACCAGCAACCTGATCTTCAAACCTCCAGTAGAGGTAAATAAGTGAAGAGGCAACCGTGTAACAAGAGAAAGACATGTATAACTCATGAAAGTAGTGCTAAAATGTGTACACTTTTATGATACAGTTTCAAGTGTTGTAGTGAGCATTCTTGTCGTCTTAAGGTGTTTCTCTAGCTTAGTCTATCAGTTGCAGACATGAGTTAGCAATAATAATTTTAACGAATTATAACTTTCTTAAACAATGAATCACAGTAGATATTCATACATTTTGTATGTTTTATAACATGCAGTTTTCTTTATTTTTTAAAACTGCTAGGTGAATGTTAGTAGGGTTCATAAAAGTTGGCAGATTGACAGCATGGAGACTGAGTTACTCTGTTTATCACAAAATAGTTTCCACATAGGTTGTAATAAAGTAAACTTCCCCATTTTGCCTGGCTAATGTTCCTCATCTTTGAGAGAGAGAAGGAACAGATCATTTTCTAGCTCTGCTGGTGTTTTTTGTGCTAGGATTGACAATAGGAGTCAATTAAGCTTTTTTGTTTTCAGTTTTGATTAAGATAACATTCAGAATTTCCCAGTAATACACCATGTATATTTCTATAAATATAATTTTTTATGAATATACTGCTAACAAACAGTGATATTGTCAATCTTGGAAACATAATTCCTTTGCTTAAAGAGAAAAGATTCAACATGTGCATTTTTTAACCAAAAAGTGGCTGCTTGTCCTAATCCACTTTTGGAGGGCACACCTCTGCTGATGAAAATGTAGTTGCATTTCCATAGCTAGTCTATTTTAGATCATTAAACTGGATGCCTGGTTTATGGCTCCAAATGACTTTGGTTGTCTAGGCATGCATTCAAAGGCAAAACTTGTGCCTAATTTTGAACTTGAAGTGAGAGAGAAATATTCTTATCCTTGATATGTTTACCTCATATGCTACAAATTTAAATATGCTTATAAAATAGATTTTTTTTTTCCAATTGAAACTTTCATACTGCTTGTAGAGAGGGGGTAAGCTAGTAAATTCGCAGCTGTAAACTAATGCAGTTTTTCTGTATACAAAAGGTAATTTGTATTCATATTAAATTCATAGTATAAACTTTATCATAAAAAGTATATATAGAACATAGTAAATCAAATGATTTCCTTAACTTTACTTTTTGATAAGTGAGACAGTAATTACAGTCTATAGTCTATTTTGTGTAATACATCTTCAGTGAAATGTAAGTTTGTAAGTGTCTAAGTCTGTGTTTGAAAATTGGGCAAAGTTACTTTTTTGAAAAAATTGTTTATCCCTAATTTTTCAAATAGGCGTGTTCAATTAAAAAAACAACAACCTGAACCACTTAAACACCTTTTCCCCTCTCTTACAAAAAGTAAAAGTTTTCAGACTTTTACACGTCATAAAGAAGCCAAAAGAGTATCTTTTAGGTGTATCTTCAAGAATTTTTAGTGAGACACTAGTAGAACAACTAATTTTTTAATGTTCTCTTACATACATTTATTAAATGTTTTAAGAATTTTAAAGTGTGTGTTACACTTTTAAAAATTTTTAATTGGAGGAATTATTTTGATTGGTTCATCAATGGTCTGAGGTAAATAGGATGAAGCTTAATAAGGACAAATGCAAAATATTCCTCTTAGAAAGGAACAATCTGTTTCACACACATAAAATGGGAAGTGACTGTCTAGGAAGGAGCACAGCAGAAAGGAATCTAGTGGTCATAGTGGACCACAAGCAAAATATGAGTCAGCAGTGTTTCACTATTGCAAAAAAAAGCAAACCAGAATCTGGGGTGCATTAATAGGAGTGTTGCGAGCAAGACACGAGAAGTCATTCTTCTACTCTACTCTGCACTGATTAGGCCTCAATTGGAGTATTATGTCCAGTTCTGGGCACCACATTTCAAGAAAGATGTGGAGAAATTGGAGAAGGTCCAGAGAAGAGCAACAAAAATGATTAAAGGTCTAGAAAACATGAGCTATTAGGGAAGGTTGAAGGAATTGGGCTTGTTCAGTTTGGAAAAGAGAAGACTGAGAGGGGACATGATAGCAGTTTTCAGGTATCTAAAAGGGTGTCACAGGGAAGGGGGGGGGGAAATTGTTTTCCTTGGCTTTGATAGGACAAGAAGCAATGGGCTTAAACTGCAACAGGGTTTAGGTTGGAGATTTGGAAAAACTTCCTAACTGTCAGGGTGGCTAAACACTGGAATAAATTGCCTAGGGAGGTTGTGGAATCTCCATCACTGGAGATATTTAAGAGCAGGTTAGATCGCAGATAGAAGAACATCTAGCAGACGAGCAAGCGGGATTTAGGAAAGATAGAAGTACCATACTGCAGATATTGGCACTAAGATTGATAGTGGAGAAAGCACGGCGAAAGAACAAGAGTGTCTACAATTGCTTCATCGATTTTCAGAAGGCATTTGACAGTATAAATCAGAAAGTGATTTGGGCGGTGTTGGAGTCATACGGAGTGGATAACAGACTGATACGGTTGTTGAAGGATATCAACAATAATATGGAGGCAGCGGTGAGAACGTGTGGAGAGTTGGGAAGTTGGTTTAGAACGAATAGAGGTACGAGACAAGGAGATCCAATATTGCCGATTATCTTCATCACACTCCTAGAGAGAGCGATGGACAAGATCAAGGAAGAGGTAGAAAGGATATGAGTGCACGGGATGAGAATTAACAACTTAAGGTTCCCGGATGATATCGTTATCGAGGAAGATGAAGAGAAGCTAGCGAGAACGGTGCAGGTGGTAAATGAGGAAGGGAAGCGGTATGGACTGATTATGAATATCAGTAAAATGAAGACAATGGTATTTGGAGGTAAGGAGATAGGCAGGAAGATCAGTGCAGGTGAGATTGCACTAAAGAACATAGAGAAGTACATGTATTTGGGGAGCAACATGACATATGATCTATACTGTAAGAAGGAAACAGCGACTAAAATAGAGAAAGCAAACACAAGTTTGAAGGTGATGGATAAGATCTGGAAAAGTAAAGCGATTAGCTTAGGAACGAAGCTGAGTGTCTTGAAAATGTGTGTGTTTAGCAGCATGTTGTACGGATGTAAGACATGGGTGATAACGAAAGATTAGAAGAGAAGGATATTGGTGTTTGAGAGGAGTTGTTATAGAAAGATCCTGAGAATAGGATGGATGCAGAAGGTCACCAACAAGGTATTATATAGGAAGATACAGCCGAAAGAGAACCTACTGCAAAAGGTTATACAACGGAAGTTACAGCTATTCGGTTATATCTGCAGAATGAATGATGAGTGAAAAGTTAAGACCCTGGTATTTGGCATAATGGATGGTCTGAATAGGAGAGGCAGACCCCACAGAGAATGGGCAGATGATATAGTAGATTGGTACAGAGCCAGTCTACAAAAACTAAGCCACTCCGCACTGGAGAGGAAAAGATGGAAGGAAATAGTGAAGGAGGCATCGGACACCAATGGGCGTTGAGCCCATGGTTGATGATGATAGATAGACATCTATCAGAGATGATCTAGAACAGGGGTGTCCAAACTTTTTTCAAAGAGGGCCAGATTTGAAGATGTGAACATGCGTGAGGGCCGACCATTTTGCCTAACATTCTTTGAACCATTAAAATTAAATGCAAATTAACTATTTTATGCAAAGTTTATTGCAAACGGCATACTTTTCATTTCGTCACATGGATGACAAATCTAAACAGGTGTTAAATAACTCTGCCTTTCATATCTGAAGGCCAGATGAAAAAAAAATCCAGGAAGCTAAAATATATGTCAGGAACATTGTAAAGTACATTACATATTATCAACTTTTAAGTTCAAAAAATATGAACAGGAACATCATACCAACTATACATGTTGTGTCCAAATATATTTATAACTGATTTAGACCAACTGACATTAACTGAGATTTTACAATGTATTCATCTCAATTGAAAAAAAAACTTGCCTAAACTAATGTGAAGGGTGAAACTGAGATCTGGACTGCAGCACAGGAGAGCGCAGGGCACGCTGGCCTCACGGCGGCACAGGGGCAGGGCGAACCCGCAGCCAAGCGGGGGAGCGGGGCTGCGGATGTGCCCTACACGGCAGGCTTTAGGACCGCAGCGGCCACCATGGACGGCGGCGGCGCGGCCGGAAACGGCGCGCTGCGCGCGCCAGTTCAAAGGAGCACCAGGGAGCCAGGAGAGGGGGAGGAAGCGGGGGCTGTCCCTGCACTCTCAGCCCCAAAGCGGAGTGCAGGGGCAGGGTTTGGGACCGCGGGGCTGCGGACGTGCCCTACAGGGCAGGGTATAGGACTGCGGCAGCAGCACGGCCCGAAGCGGCGCGTTGCGCTGCGCTGCGCGCGCCAGTTCAAAGGAACACCGGGGAGCCGGGAGAAGCGGGGGCCGTATTAAATCGGGCCGCAATTGGCCCGCGGGCCGGACTTTGGACATGCCTGATCTAGAAGGTGCTTGGTCCTGCCCTGAGGGGAGGGGACTGAACTTGATGATGTCTTGAGGTGCCTTCCAGTTCTAGTATTCTATTATTCTATGATCAAATGGAGTGTTGTTAAATGTATCAGACTGGTGGTAAGAGCCACGTTGTATGGAATAGTATGCTACTGGGATCATTGTTCTTTTTAATATTATTTTGTATGTTCTGCCTTAATCTTTAGAAGAACAAAGTATCTGAATTATAAAGCTATTGCTACATTGATTTTTAATTCCATAACAAGGAATTGTAGTTAAAATTCCTTAAAATTTAAATCTGCAGATAAATGTATTGATAATAGGAAATGCTTTATAAGATCAAATAGGGTTTTTTTTATTGCAAGAAGGAAATGGCTTCAGTTACTAAATTGCTGAATGAAGGATTGCAGATAATCTGTTGTTTAATAACATTACTATAATCTGTTTAATTATACTTCTGAAACTCATGTTGTCTTTTCTAGAGCTATGTGCAAAAAAACAAAAAAATTCTAAAAGCTGCCAAAGACTTGCCTCCAGATGCGCTTATTATTGAATATAGAGGAAAGTTCATGCTGAGAGAACAATTTGAAGCTAATGGGTATTTCTTTAAAAGGTATATTTAGTTTAAGAATGCTCTTTCTGTTAAGTAAATTTTCTTAAATGTGCTATTACCTGGTTGCTGTTTTTGTGCCAGCTACTGGCATGTAATTTATAGTACACCATGAATATTATACAACTATTTTTGAACTTGCATAACATCCATCTGGGGTATTCATTAAATATTTATAAAGCACCTCAAAAGTGTAAATATTATTCCCATTTTACAATTTGGGACTCAGAGAAATAATTTGCTCAAGATTATACATAGACAGTTGCCATTCTGACTTCCAACTTTGAGATTTAGCTATGAGAGTATCCATTCCTTCTTACTCTTCTGGTTATTTACAAAACTCAGCCACCATAACTGAGCAAAGCTTTGTGTGTTAGATATATTTACTGTCTTATAAATCTCAATGGATTTGGATTGAGAATTCTTTGTTGCTGACCTGGAAGAATTGCAATATAAAATCAATGCTATTTTATACACTATAATGATAAAAAAAACATTAAATCTGAAAATTAAGTCCTAATGGTTTTTAAAGAGGAAGAATGCTTATCTAATATATTAAAAATTAATCTACAGGGTTTCTTCTTTTTTTGCTAGGCCATACCCTTTTGTTTTGTTCTATTCCAAATTCCATGGACTAGAAATGTGTGTTGATGCAAGAACCTTTGGAAATGAAGCTCGATTCATTAGACGGTCTTGTATGCCCAATGCGGAGGTAAGCTTATAAATATAGGAAATAATTCCTTGGTTAATCTAGCTTTTTATTTATTGTGCTTGGCTTACAGGATATCATGTACAGCCCATCTGTTTCCTGTGTTTTGGACTAAGGGGATTTACTATGGAGGTGATATATAGTATAATGGTGGGTTAATTTTTCAGTATTGTTTCTGGTCAACAAGTTAACATGGTGGTGTTTTTTTCCTTCTTTGCAAAGTTCCTAAGCACTGAACACCTTCACCTCTCATTGTCTCTAATGAAGGAACTAGATAGGACACACTTGGATATAAAAATAAAACATATTTTCATATTTAGCATGTTAATTTATAAAATTATTAAAATATTTTCATCAGGACATTGACTCTATAAAGAATAAAGTGTATACATGAAGAATCATGTTTTGATAGCATTAAAGCATTTTGTAAGAATAATTTCTTTATGAATGTATGCAGGACAGCATCAGGAAACATACATTTTGCTTATTATGAAAAACATAACCATTGTTTTATTTATATTGGTTTTATCAGCTCTGACAGTTGATGGTATTAGTGGGAGGGAAAAACCTGTAGAATGTATTAAGCATATCTGGGTTTTTAAGAATGTTTGTGCATTTTAATTCATTATAAACTAATGTATAGCTTTTCTCCTGGATTTAGGTGAGACATGTAATTGAAGATGGAACAATTCATCTTTATATTTACTCCATCCAAAACATTCCAAAGGGAACAGAAATTACTATCGCATTTGATTTTGATTATGGAAATTGGTAAGTATCTTTAAATTGTATTAAATGTCCTGTATTTTAGGACAATATACTTGTAAAATGTTAGTAATACTAGACGATTTACTCGGTGTTGCTCAAGTCTTTAACTCAAATAAGGTGAGAAGTGCCTGTCCATGGCTGCTGCAGTGGCATAGCCAGGGGAGGGGGATGCATGTCCCCTGCTGGGGAACAGATACACAAATAGACAAACTTTCTGAAATATATAATAGATAGCTGTGAGCGCGCACCTCCCCCCTCCCCCCCCCCACTGGCCCAGTGGGGTTATAACTGTCCTGGTGCCTATCTCTGGCCTCTTCTGCCCTCTGATCATTCTGCAGTATAACTGACCCTCCTACCAGACACCTCCCTTTTCATTTTATGAGAAACAATCAAATTCCAGGCACATCTAATTGTCCTGGCACACCCAAACCCTTACCTTGTTTTAAGTTATAAGAGGAAGCTGTATTTGGTGATCCTAACTCTTGTAATTTGAGGAGTTCTTGAACAAATAGACCCACAGTCAGATGGACAGATAAATACACACATTTCTAAAATTTATAGTAAGATAAGTATCAGAGGGGTAGCCTTGTTAGTCTGAATCTGCATAAACAAGGAGAAGTCCTGTGGCACTTTATAGACTAACAGATTTATTGGAGCATAAGCTTTCATGGGCAAAGACGTACTTCGTCAGACATGCATCTGACGAAATGGGTCTTTGGCCACGAAAACTTATGCCCCAATAAATCTGTTAGTCTATAAGATGCCACAGGGGACTTCTCGTTTATATCAGTGGTGCGCAATTTTTTTTCATTCATGAGACCTACGCCCCCTAGGAACACAGCCGCGACCCCCTTGGTGGTTGAAACCGACGCGCACCACAGGTTTATATAGTAAGATGAGATATTAATTGAAGCTAGCAAGTTATGGGTATTCCTGTTTTCTTTTATTGTTTTCATATACTTGAATGGTAGGGTACTCTTAATGCCCTCAATGATGACAATGTATGCCATCACAGGGTTTTTCTTTAAAGAATGTTTCATTGATAGACCTTTTCACTATGAATTATAAATGGTTTTATATCTCCACAATACTCCAAATGTGGATTTACAGTGAAAATTCTTGAAATATGCATTCATTTTGTGGATTGTTAAATACTAATTGATAGTTAGTGTAAACTAATGTAGACAATTCAGAAATGTGCTATTTAAAAAAATCATTCTTACAACTTTGCCTATCATAGATAACCACTGAAACAATTCAAAAGGAATAAAATCAGACCTAAGCTAAATTACTATAGAAATGAAAATAAATTACATTTGTGCTATAACCCACTATTTTAAAAAAAAGTCCAAGTCTATTAAGTCCTGTCTTAAAATCATGTTTTAAATTCTATAACCTATTGAGCCACACATCCCGTCCCCCTCCACTGCCCCGGTACAGTTATTTCTCTTGTTGTGAATTGTAAAATGCCTCGTACGTAGATACCATTACAAAACAATGGCAAAGTGATTAGGGTACGTGCTGTTCCCAGATAGGCATTAACAATTTCTGTGGACTGTGGAGTACAAAATTTGGTGTTTAGGCAACATAGCTAATGCCTTTCTCCGTTTTTCCAAAAAAACTTCAATTACATCCACACTGCAGTCGCATTCTTCCGAAAGAAAATCTAAAGAGCAGAGGGGTTTTCCCGACATTGGTAATCCTCATTCTATGAGGAAGAAGCCGTTTTCCAAAAGAGCTCTTTCAGAACAAGGTGTGTGAGGACGGGGAATGAGGAGCTCTTTCGAAAGAAGAGGAAAGAGGAAAAAGTGCAGGTGCTCTAGTGGCTACTCCATCCATAGTAATCACAGCTGAAATGCAAGATAACATCCATTCGCTATCTTTCGAAAAAGCAGATCACTTTTTCGATGTGCTTTTGCAGTGTGGACGCTCTCTTTCAGAAGAAGTTTTTCCGGATCATCTCTTCTGGAAAAGCTTCTTCCGAAAGAAGCCTGAAGTCTAGACATAGCCTCAGACATTAGGAAGGAAGTGTTTTCTTTACCTTTAACGTGAGATGCCCCTGAAAATTGACTGTTCTTACTGTTTTTTGTATATAGTTGGAGTCAGTGCTCCCAGTTACATAGTGAGTTTCGTATGAAATGTGCTCAATTTACCAGAAAACATGTTTTGGTGTTTTCAACCTGCAGCCTATTCACGCTTTTCTCTGAAAGACATGAATTCTTCGAGTGATGTCCCTGTGGGTTCTCCACTGTTGGTGATGGGTCTCCTCAAGCCACAGATCAGAGCCTTGCAAAGCAGTTTCCCCTGTTGGGCTGCGCATGCGCAGGAGGCATCTCACAACGCTCGCGTGGCTCAACTCTTCCCTTTCAGTTTTTCTTCAAGGGGTGTCCCTGTGGGTGCTCCACTTTAGGTCTTGCGGCACCGTTTCACATCTAGTCAGCAATTTACAGTAGCAGTGCCCTCCAGTGTGCTGCTACCATGCATGTGCGGCAACCATCCCTTCAGTTCCTTCTCTACCGGCATCGGTCAGAACCGCAGTTGTTCTCCTTATTTGTTACTAGTTCAATATAATTCCAGTTACAGTAAGTTAGTTCTGGTGGTAGTTAGTTAAGATTAAGATTTTTTTTCTTTCTGTTTAAAAAAAAAAAAAAAAAAGTTAGTCCGCAATTTTTTTTGTCTAACAGTCCTTCTATCCTTGGGATGCCTGGCTCCCCAGGTTTCAAATGGTACCTCTCCTGCAGGCTCTTGATGCCCGTCTCCGGCGGTCACTCCAAGTGTGTGCACTGCTTCGGTCAGGCACACATTACGGCATAGTGCGAGCACTGCCAACAGCTTACAGTTCACACAAGGAAGTGCACAGGAGCTATAATTGAAACTTCTCGCACTAGAGAACACAGTGAGACCAGCTTCATATCTGGAGCATTCATCTCCTTTGCACCAACCGTCACATCTGGCCATGTTGAAAAATCAATGCCGGCCAGGATCAAGTTGAGGGGCTCCTCCTCTAACCAGTATAGGAAGCGGTTCCATTCCGCCAGCAAAGGTGACTCTCCATCAAAAAAACGGGAGCGAGCACCTAAACTGCCCCCTGCTCCCAACGCCTACCAGAGTTCCTGACAGGGAAGCTCTGGAACCATGAGGTACTAACTGTTCCCAAGGATCAAAGTACCTACATAAGCCTTCCAAGCCTTCAGGCAAGGCCAAGGCAAAATCAGCACTGCTGGTGCATACGTTGGCGCCAAGAAAGGACAAAATCAAGCCAGCTACAACTGTGGCATCTCTGGCACCAAAGAAGGCGAAGCCGCACACAGTACCATCGGCACCCATGCCGCCTCCAGCACTGAGGATCCACGAGCATGCAGTACTGACACCCTCTCGACGTGGCTATAGCTCCACCTCATCCTTCCCCGGCACCACATATACCGGGGCCAGCACCATTCACTACGGCAGAGGAGCTCATGGTGTCCTCAGTGCCCATGACACTGCTATTCGGCACCAATGGCACCCCCACGTCAAGCAGCTTTCTACACTCGCTGATTCCAGGCTCAGCACCATCCTTGTTGAGCGATGATGACGACAACTCTGTTGTCGGCACCCATTTTCCAAGATATTCTTTCCCAAAACAGCCTCAACCACCAACATTTACAGGGGCACAGCAACAACCACTGCAATGACTGCCTCCTCCCATGCCTTTTCACCCAACTGGCCTTATTGGGACCTGGAGGCACCATATTGGGTTCAGCACCATTTACAGGGTTAACAGCTCATGACAACGGCTCCTGCTTCCAGAGCGTCATCCCTGCCAGCCCTTGAGAGGTTGCTCTACCAAGAGGAGGAGGAGATTGCTTCCAGTGATGAGAAATCATCAGCCTTGTCTCACCCGGCAACCCACATATCCTCCTCCCCTCCTGACGATACGCTTATGCCCCTGTCTCCTATGGTGGAAGGCGACTTCTGTTCTTTCCAAGAACTTTTTAATCAAGTAGCTGATGTCCTTGAGGTCTCCCATGTCAGCCTCTCCGAGACCGAACACAAACTGGCCTTGCCCATGGATTCTGCCCTTATGGACCCTGCCAAGATTAGATGGAAGACATCAGCTATAATTCCACCTGTCTGCGAGAGATCTGACCGCAAATATTATGTGGCGCCACAAGGCGTGGACTTCCTCTTTTCTCATCTTTCCCCCAACTCCATAGTGAAGGACGCTGTCAACAAAAGGGGCAAACAGCGCAACACGCACTACCCCATATGAGAAAGAGTGGAAGCATTTAGATCTTATGGGTAGGAAGGCTTATTCCTCAGCCTCTCCTCAGCTATGTATATCGAATTATACAGCAATGTTGGCTAAATACACCCACCATATCTTTGAACAGCTATCACTTTTTATTGATAACTTGCCAGAGGATCAGAAACAACAGTTCTCTGCCAGTATAAACAAGGGAATGTTGATCTTCTGCACGGCCCTTCAAGCCGCTCTCAATGCATCCAACACAGCCTCACTGTCCATTGTGACAGCTATTGTGGTGATGAGATACTCCTGGCTCCATCTCTCAGGTTTTCCTCGGGAGGTACAGGCCACAATAGTGGATCTCCCCTTCCAGAGATCTAAGCTGTTCATGAACACAACTGATGCGTCCCTCCATTCACTCAAGGATTCCAGAACAACGTCTCAAACCCTTGGGATACATTTGCCTGCAGCAAAGCGCAAACAAAACAGATACTTTAATCAGAGATGCAAATTCTCTCCTTTCAATCATCCTTAGAGGCACTTTGATATCAGGAGGAGACAATGACAAACCAAACATGGACAAACTGCTGACCAGCCAGCCACGTCTCAGTCATCCACTTCTAGGCAAACATTTTGAAGGTCAGGTCGAGAGTCTGATACCACCCCTTCGTAAGGAACAACTCCAGTCCTATCTACAATTCCACCAGTGTCTCCTACTATTCTTCTACCAATGGTCTACCATTATGACTGACAAGTGGGTGCTAGAAGTCGTCAG